AACGACCATACGAGTAGTAATTGTTATAGGAATATCTCACAATTCGTGCATAGACCTATGTCATAGGGGTGCATGTATGGTAGAATTGCATCTAAAATCATAGGGGTTTTTTTTTCTGTATTTTCATTTTTGAGGGGTACATTTAATTTGTGCTCCCTAAGTAAAATATACGTACCTTCACCCATGTTGTAACACAAAAATGTTACCAATCTTAGTATTATAGATGGCACTAAGTCAAATCATGCTCGTTATGTTTGCAAACTTGTGGAAAAGAAATTCTAGATTTTGACTCATTTAGGGATGGAGACATGGGTTTATTACAGGATGAGTGAGGCGTAGTATAGCATTCCACACGTACACAGCTATATATAGATGGACTGAGCAATACTGTCGTTTGATTCAAAAACAATACTAGCTACAATGTAATACTGCCGTTGCAACGACGACTAACACGCGCAAATACTAGAGATAATAATAACATGATGAAAGAATTAAGAAACATAAAGTAGCAAAACCCTAACCTTTTACGATAAACTTTTCTTTCTCTTCCTACCGTAATGCACGGCTCAATTGCTCGGCTTTTGTCAGTTGGATCACAGAGAAAGTAACGCAGGCAGGCAAGAAAGACGGTGAAAGGAAAGGGCAGGCAGGAAACGAAAGGAGGCAAAAGTTGGCAAAAGATGAGAAAGAAAATAAAGCGATCACCATCATCATCATCGTGTTCTCTCTCCTACGCATGTCACCATGCTCGTGACTAGCCTCGCTACTCCCTATAGCTTAAAGCATGCAGCCGATAAACTAATCTTTTTTAGCTCAAAATTGTCTCAAAACTTTAACGACTTCTGAACTTGTGATGTGTCTATATATAAGATGCATGATAGCGAAAGATCTCGCATAATCGTCGTCGTTATCAGGGCGTGATTATTAGGGGCACATGTGTTGTAATTAATAATGGACTACCAGTAACTAGGCGTACGCTTGTAATGATTCAGTCAGAATTGTGAGCACGAGTGTTGGATTGTTAAGTGGCCCGAAGATAGTATGCTACTCCCTCCGTCCCACGAGTGTAGGTATCATGCCAATTGCAAGAGGCATTTAAGTAAAACCCACCGGTAATTACGGTACATCACACCACCATGAGGGTATGTGCGCTACGTACTCACTATACTCTAAAACAAAAGATATTACAATAATCCTAGAACATATACATGTAGATCAGGTCGGCCATTAGAATTATGGTATTAACTGTGGACATTCAAGGTCGTTTAGAAGTTTGAGTTTTTAATTTCAAAATATATGAACATAAAACACATATTTGGGGCTCTAAATGACTTCAAATAAAAAACATTTCAACTAAACAGTTGTAGATTGTATTGGGGACTACAACTTTGATATAGATCATGTCAACATCCGAGGTTGTTTAAAAATTTTAAATTTCAAAGATATGTGAAATTAAAATAATATTTTGGGACTCTAAACAGTTTTAAATAAAAAACTATTCAATTACAAAGTTGTAGACCATGTCGATAACTACAAATTTTGATATAAAGTTTGTCTTGATGTAAGTTTTGGAATCCTTTAAAATTTGGAAAATACTTCGAATGCCTAGATTCCTTACATTTGATGAGCACAGAGGAAGTAACACTTAGACCTATATGTGCCAATGAATGACCGCACGTGGCTATATCTGGTGGACTACATGTGGATGCTGCTTTAGGTGTGTACCGATTATCAGGTCATTTCCACCGTTGGTCGACACGATGCAAGCTGATCCACAGACCACTGAGTCATATTGCGATCGAGTGTTGGCCGTGGATCTTACAAACCAATCGATGTGAACCCCTCAAAATTTGATCTTATGCAGTAACAATCATTCGCATCCTCGTTTACTTAGAAGCTTTTGACATCAAAACTAAACTACCAAAGTGGGAACCGCGTGTAGTGGAACTGTAAAGATAATTTTTAAACACATTCCCACTGCTTAAAAATAGGCCGGTGAATACTTCATGCTTGTATCCCTTGCGTCTTGAACGAAACCGTCCTAAAATATACTAGTTGTTTTTATATATAGATTTACCCTAAGTTATATTATTTAAAATTTATGTAAGTTTAATACAAAAATAATTAACATCTATAAGACCAAAAAAAATATTATATAAATTTATTTTATGGTGCATTCAACGATCTGGTCAAATTCAACGAAATTTGACTTATAACAAATCTACTAGAACTAGCTACAGAGCAGAGGGATAACTATTAGGATCTATATCCACACATCATCGTATAAAAGCTCACGAGGCCAAGTATATATTTTGATGATGCAACAGCAACTCGAGTAATTAAGTGATCGATACTATATCCAATACAGAAGTGCATGTTCGTGGAGATTGATATGCTCTGCGAGCCAGCCATATCTCTCGTGTTATTCTCATATATCATATCAGCAAGAATTAACAAGTGCCGACCGCATGCATATCTCTGCAGCTACGTTCACACACTCATCACAAACACGTGCAAATGCGAAAATCACAGCACCGTATCCAAACCAAGGATCACAAAAGGACAAAGTCGATCTCCAGGAACCTAGAACAATAATTTTCAAAAGATCACAATCAGATCAAGCAACACCTCCATGCCGCGTGAGCATTACAACAACGTAAACATGCATGCATTGTTTAAGAACAGAATGTGAAGTACTCCCTCCATTCCAAATTGTAAGTCATTCCAAGAATCTTGGAGAGTCAAAGTTTTTCAAGTTTGACCAAATTTATATAACAAAATAATAATATTTATCATACCAAGTAAGTATCATTAGATTCTTCATTAGTTATATTTTCATATTATACCTATTTGATGTCATCAATCTTTGTGTTTCTCTCTATAATTTTAGTCAAACTTAAAAAAGTTTGACTCTCCAAGATTCTTGGAATGACTTACAATTTGGGATGGAGGGAGTACTATTTACTAATGAGATATTAATTGGAGCCTCAGCGTCGCAAGCGTGAAAGAAAAAAAAAGATAAATGTTATTATGAATTATATACTCTTTTCGAGCCTCATATTAACCACAAAATGTGCTACAAAAAGGCAAATATGAACTCTCCCCATAGATATCAGAGATATCTAGCCATCAATTCAGTACCCTTTAATCCTCATTGGAAATAATAGCCATCAAATCCTTTTTTTTTGGGTTAGAAAAAGATACCCACCTATTCCATTACAAAAATAGTCTCAGTTAACACCTTTCTGCACCTAGTTATATATATCTAGATACTCACCTCTGTTATTATAAAGTTTAAAATAAGTCCTAAACTTCCTCTAAATTATTGGGGTAATAAATGGTAAAATACTAAAATTTTGTATATAAATTACCCTCTTCTGTCAAAGAACTAAAAAAACTAAAGAATCCCTAAATTTGTATCTAAATTACCTACCCATGCCATTATAAAAATAAATAATGTAAACTAACCTCTAAATTTGCATGTGATCGAAAAGTATATAAAATAATTGATGAATAAAGTATATCACAACTAGACAAAGATAAGAAAGTATCTACATGTATGGGGATATAATAAACTTAGAATATGAAAAACAATGAAAGACAAAGGGGGCAAAATTAATAATTGGTTGTGGACTTCAAACTTATGGTCATGCATGGATTTCTAGCAGTTAATTATGTCTCTTGGGATTACTGGACCGGCCCGGCCGTATAAGAGCATGCATGGGTTTATATAGACTAGTAAGTAATTAAGCTTACTTAAAAGGTTCGATAATTCTTCTATATATATATAAAATGGGATCGCTCTTGGGACTCCATGATGGTAATGTGTTGTAATTAGCATATATAGATATATAAGCATTTGGAGAGCTGGCTAACGTAGGTTTCCCTTTTGGAAATTCCCGGTACAAAGTAGGGTTCCCAAGCAATAATTAAAGGGAATGGACACAAACAACAAGCTAGTACTGCACCGGTGGTGGAGGAGATGATGGTCACATCCCCACCACGTACGACGACACAGCCGGCACATCCATGACCACCAAGAAAAGCAGATCGACCCAGATGCAACGCAAAAGGGGCTGCCTCTGGCCTCTGGGTGCTTATATATATACACAGTGCAAGCGCGCATCTGTTTTTAGCCCGACCAATTTATTTTGAACATAGCAGGATCTCATTTTGATTCCCGCCAAAAACTAAATACTTGTGGCCAAGTTCATATTTGCAAGTTTTCATTTTCAGAAAAGTAGGACCTCATGAAAGGCCATAGTTTCACTGCTATGGGCACAAACTTTTGATTTCATATTTGCTAGTTTTCACTGTCAGAATGCGCTTTCTGAATCAATAAGAACCATAGGAGGTGGGGAAACAAATACAGAAAATAATCCCTGATTCTTAACCATCATGCAGTTATCTATCTGCGAGAACGAAACAATAGAGAATCACTTCCAACAGCAGGAGCCAGGAGCCAGCCCAAGGTGGAGAAAAACTAGATTGGCACCATGAAAGGTGCACGTCTGGTAGTCTTTGGTATTTTTACTTTCTGAAAATTATGATACCCATGGCTACCACATATATAATTAGGAGCAATCCTCGTCTAATAAAACAGATAAAAAAATGATGTATCTCTAGGGTACATAAAACAACATGATGGAACTAGTAACCTAGCTAGAACGGGCACACATGTGGCTCTCTTGCACATCATATTTCCATCTTTTGACAGAATCTTGTTTGGAATCATTGCTCCTCCCTTCTCCATCTCATTCGCCCCATGGATCCATATATCTTGGTGATACCTGTACAAGTTATATCCATCCACCATCGCCACTGTAGTCCTGCACCATCTTATATTCTGCCGACATACTCATTCTCTAACCATAAACCCTTCCTCAACCCTCACCACACTCACTAGATCTCTCACTCCTTGTGCTGCACACCTCACTCTTCTCCTTGCTAGTTCTCTTCCACTTCCACTCTCAGCTAGCTAGCTCATCCCCATAGTCCTTATGCTGAATCTAGTATCATTTGAGACGCCGCCTCTTGGAAGGCAGGAGAGATCAGCTAATACTACCATCACCGCAACCGCAACAGCGGCCATCAGGGGAAAGGAAGAAAGCTCCAGCAACACTTGCTTCCATGGACATCTGGACCTCAGTCTTGGCATCTCCTTGTTTCATGGTGGTGGCGGCGGCTGCGACGCATCCAGCTGTGATGGAAGCAAGGAAAGCTATGGTGGTCTACAGGGCAGCCGTGATGACAAGGACAACATTCGTTTCATGAACAGCGGCACCACCACTGCAAATGTGATTACCGCAGGGCACCGCCATCATGTCGGTGATTTGACGGCATCATCAGGATCAGGAGGAGGTGGCTGGGCAGCGGCGTTCATGCCGAGCCCGACCGGCTTCATGCATCCATGGAGCCTCGCCGCACGGCAGCAGAAGGCTGCTGCCGAGCAAGACCGGACGCCTCCAACCACTTACATGTCAAGGTGAGATACGCTGAAACCCAGTGAAGTATTTCTGCATGGCTACGTACATCAGTTTCTACACATCAGTAAATTAAAGCACTGCATATGTTTATGATCCATGTTTGACCTTGAACTTCATATGGATAAGTTTTGCTGGTTAGCTAGGTCAATTGTTGTACTTCTAAAAATGTGACATCATTTCATTTTCATGCATGATGGATTTTATTTTGGGACTGCGTCTAGCATTGTTAGAGGAGGTTTGCAGTTTGTGATATATTTGGGCACTTCTTAGGGATGAAAAAAAGACATATTGTTTCCTCCAGTCTATTCTCATTTTATCAAGCAAACATGATTTCACATGGGCTTATAAACATGCATATGAGGATACAAAGGGCCATAGTCTATAGATTTGCAATCATGACGCATAGAATGTATGCAGTGTAGTGGAAAAAAGGAGGATCAAAGTGATCTACGTACAAATGATTGCAATCATTAACATTTTGAACCAGTCATCGATGATTAGTATATTCTGCAAGCTAGTCGTCGTGTGCTTAGAACTACGTTTATAAATGATATATTACAAACAGATTCTTATATATCCAAGAGCTCAAGATCGAGGAGAACTACGTGAAGTTTCTAAATGTACATATAACAGATGCAACTACTAGTATTTCTGAGCTATTCCTAACTCAAATTTATTTTTGGTTTGACCAAGTTTATTAAAAAAATAATATTACAAATGCCAAACTTTTTAAAGGATTTCTCCCTCCATGGGAAAATAAAAGTATTTCTGAGCTTGTCCTGAGTCAAACCTTTAAGGTTGACTAAGTTTATTGAAAAAAAACACAGTAACATTTCCAATGTCAAACGAGCATAAATGGATCTATTGTGAAATATATTTTTGAAGCTTACTTATTACTTGATGTGTTAGATGTTAATACTCTTTTATATAAACCTAGTCAAACAATAGAACAAACTCAAAAATCCGCCTATGTTGGGATGGATGGAATACTTAAATTTAGAGTGCATGCATAATTTTTTTACAAAAATAAGTGCATGCATATTAGTATCAAGTTAGATACATATATATGTGCTTTCCTCCCATCTCAGATTATATTGTCTCATTTTCCTTGTATTTGGACAAGGAGAGATAATAAGAAATACTCCCTCTGTTCTAAAATACAAGGGACTTGAGTTTGTTGTAAGTCAAACTATGTATCCTAAATTTGACCAAAGTTATAGAGAAAGATATCATCTACCACGTCAAAAGGTAAAAATATAAAACATATTTCACACTGTATATATCTAATGATGGTCAATTGATATTGTAAATGTTATTGTTGGTGTGACCCTTTTCTATAAGTTTTGGTCAAACCTTTGATACTTTAACTTAGGATAAACTTAAATTCCTTATATATTAGGATGGATAGAGTATTTGATTTCACCCACTGTCCTATTTCTCACCAATAAAGTCTCTCATCAACTAATTAATTTTTACACATTTTCAAAGTCATAGGTTGGCCCATGCCCTATTATATTTCTTTCAATTGTCTAAACTATGAAGAATTATTCATTTTTTATTTCTCTTTGGAGGAAAACCAAGATAAAATTTCAAATTTATTAGAAGTGAGGTCCTAAAAAAAAAGTAATGGATTCTTCCACTTGGATGAAACTAATTCAATGTCACAAATAAAAAATGCAAGAAAAGAGAAACATTTTAGTTTCCCATAATTAAGAAACCTCCGTATAAGAGTAACCACCATGGACCATGCAAATAGAGAAGAGCATGCACGTTGATAGTAATTCCATACAGACATTGCATTTTTGCAAACACAATGCATGCAAAGAAGGGAGCCAAACGTACATAGGAAAACAAGGTAGGTTTAGGTATATGGCCATGGTCCTTACACACTAGCTGGACCATGAACGGCAGTCGTCCAGTGATCAATAAGTAGCTATACTCCGTAGCTTAGAATGTGTGGGGGCAAACTGAACAGAGCAGAGAATGGATGGCTCTCTTGTTCTTTTGGGACCGTTATGAGCAGCAGAGCATGCAGAGGGAGGCCATGGCGACTTGGCGAGACGACGACGACAGAGACGACTGACGAGAGCGAGCAGGACGTACGTACATCGGACGGAGTAGTAGACGAGATCTTTAGGCCGGAGCTGCAAGAGGGAAGGGGTGGTGTGCATGCATGGTGGGGTTGCAGCCGTGCAGGGCAGCAATGATGGTGAGCGCAGCAGGCATGCCATGGCTGCCTGGCCCGGCCCTCCTCTGCTAGCTGCTAGCTGCAGTGCAGTCTTTTCCATAAAATCCACTTTTTGGGTCCCCGTCCCGTCCCTATATGGATGTGTGCAACTGCTAACTAAAGTTTCTGTAGCTCTCTCATCAATAATTGAACAGCTGTGCGTTGTGGTGGCCATGCATGCGATGGCCTCATCATGTGCTTCCTTCACCCTTTTCATTCTATAATACTACTATAGGATCGATCGGAGTGTCTAAATGATATTTGAACTACTAAAATTTACTTCAGAAGATTGACAACTTACTGTCTCAGTGCTCACTCCAAGTCGGTAAAAGAAGTCGTTTTAAACAACGTCACGGTTTCCAAAGTATAACGTTAACTTCTTATTTTTATAAAAATATTTATTGAAAAGTGAAATATATTTTTATGAAAGTATTTTTTCAAGATAAATATATTCATATAGTTTTCACATTTTCAAACTCAACACCTTAAAAGTTATTCATAATTTATATTCTAAATGTTTGACTCAAATCTTTTCCTAAATGATTTTCTTTAGGAGGGAGTATATGTTCCGCTTACCGTTTAGCTGTCTAATAATCTTTTCCCCCTGTCGATCATGTCAACAGTGATGACCGTGTGGCCACATCGCCGTCGGCCGTCGGCTGGCCGCCGGTGCACACCACCCGGCGCAACATCGTCACCGCCATGCAAGTAACCAAGACTGGCGCCACCGCCGCCGACGGACCCGAAAGCACGACGACGACGCACGCCGCAGCCGGCGGCGAGAAGAACGTGGCGGCGCCACCGATGACGGACAGCACGGTGGCGGCGACACTACGGCCGGCGCCGGCGAACATGTTCGCCAAGGTGCACATGGAGGGCTACGCGATTGGCAGGAAGATCAACCTGAGGGCCCAAGGCGGCTACGACTCCCTCTCCAGGGTGCTCACCACCATGACAACAAACTTCTTCTGCCGTAAGTACAAGCAAACTACCCCCCTGCAAAATTAAAACTTGTTTTATTTTTACTTCTGGAGAGGAATCCTCAAACTGAGTGGCCCAATTTGAATTAATACTCACCCAATCAGACCAAGCCCATAAACTGAGTTGGACCAGTTCGGTTAAGATTAGCCCAACCAGCCCATGGCCCAGCTAATTTTTTTTAAGGACATCTTGGAACTGAGTGGCCCAATTGGGTCAATACTAGCCCAATCAGTCCATAGTCTATGCATTTATTATCTATGTCTATTTTCTTTAAAAACGAATAGGCAGGAGACAGCTGCCCGCTATATATATTATTAATATAAAAACAAAAAAGTGAATCCTAACGACAACACAAGACTGAATAATAACAACAACAAAAGATTATCAATTGGTAGAGGTACTGATTCGCAAAAAAAATGTTAGAGGTACTGGTTCCAAAAAAAAAGGTTAGAGGTAGTGGTTGCTTTGAGAACTATTATATTATATTATATTATACAATATCTAGTAGATTTCTCTTGGTGGTGTTATTTATTGCTTCAAAGTTGGATTGCAATTTCTCTACCATGGTGATATGTCTCATTGATTGTTTTTTAAAAAAATGGATTTCATTCTGCAAATGCAGCCGCAGACTGTTCAGGTGCAGGCACGGGAGAAAAAGATGCTCCTAATAGTGACAAGTTCATATTCCTGTATGAAGACTTTGAGGGTGACCGAATGCTGGTTGGTGACGTTCCATGGGAGTAAGTACCTGCAGCCGATTGCTTGCCATCCGCCAACTACATTAATTATATATATATATATATAGATATTCTGGAATGGATTCTTGGCCTGCATTAATGTTACTGCAAAATGACAACTCACCATTTCTGTAATTCAGATTGCTGAGTTCACTAAAATTTTGGACTACTGAAAAATATAGTATACTTTGCACATGGCAAAAAATAACTAGGAAATCATGATGGTTAACAGATTAGGAATAATCATATTTAAAATTATTTTCATGTATTGTATATAGATTTTAAATAGAAAATATAGCATGGAAATGCGAGGAGTTATCCCAAAGTGGGTAAAATAATGTTGTTGTGCATTTTCTGCAGATTATTCCTAGCATCTGCTAAAAGATTGTACATTGTCCGAAACCCAGCACCAAGTGACAAAGGTAATTGCAATATAATGTTGTTTTGTTACACATGTTCCTAGATTGACTACCATTCATTTTTTAGATATACTAGCAAAAGTGCTCGTGAGTTATAACGGGTTGTTATGCGCTTTCAACTTCCAAATCAGCATCCGCTCACTCGTAGTTGTCTCGCCCTGACCTCCACTATCCTTGGTGTGCTCAACTACCTATAAGCATAGATTGCTTAGCCTCTTTGTTGACATTGACAAAGTCTATGTCATCGTGCACATATTATTCCATCCTACCTCTTTTTGGCTTGGGCTACCGCATTTTCTCTTCTTGGGCCAAAAGCCCGCTGACAGCTTGCTCCCTTTTTCTTTCCTGAGCCCCGCGAACTCCTCTTCTCCACCCTCCTAGGTCGCAAGCCTTTCGGCCTATCCCCGCGATCCCGCCCTACCAGCCCATGCAGAGAGCTCACCATGCCCCTCGTCTTCCAATTTGACCACAGCCCAAGAGCTAGCAGCAGCCCACCCTCTCCCTCTCTCTGTGACCCAATGACAATCGGGCTCATTCCCTTTCTGCTGAGTGGCCCCCCGCGTTGTCATCCCCTACCTCCCTCCTTTCCCAAATTCTTCCCGCTCCTTTCCTTCTCCGGCTGAGGAGAAGCACCAAGCCGCTACTCCAGCTAGGTGTGCCCCCTTCTTCTCTGTCCAGTCAAGGCGCCGCGAATCACGCCTCCATCACCCCCGCCCCTTCTTTTTTCTTCTTGCATGCCACAATTAGGAGCCTCCATGCCCGGCGCCATTAGAAGATGCACAAGTTCCATCTTAGGCCCTCTGCTCCATTCTCTGCCCTATATATGATGGCCCTGAGGACCATGCACACTCATCGCCGCCACATCGGCCCTGCCCGCATCCCCTCCCTCGCTCTAGAGCCACCCCAAAAGCCACTGATGCCATGGCCGAGGCCCTGCCATCAACCTGATCTCCTCTTTAGAGACCTCCCAGGCCATGATTTCTTCTCCCTCGGCACCACAAGCTCAACTCACATCCAGCAGACCGCTCCACAATGCCAATCCAGTGCTCCATCGCCTTCCTCCAAAGCTCGCCTGAGCTCCACTGCCACCTGCCGTCTGTCCTCGTCGACCATCGCCACCAACTCGTCTCTGCCACCCAGATCTTCACCGTCATGCTCGCCAGGCCGAGCTTGGCCTCCACCACGCGGTGGTGAACCCTACCCACTAGAGCACCATCTCGGCGGCCTCCTAGACGCACACCACCACGTGGGCACGCCCCCTCCCCTACCGCGACGGTGGACAAGAAACAGAGCCACGTGATGGCCATCCGATCGACTCCCGACGCCACAGATGTCTTCTTGACCCACGGTCAACTAGGTATCGAGTGGCGGTGGTGGTGTGTTTTTTTGGAGAGGACGGAGCGGTGGTGACATGCGTGGAGGAGTGCGAGTGTGAGCGGGGCGAGTGAGTAGGCTTCTAGTTGGGCCGAAACAATGGGCCAAATGAAAAACAGGGTGGAGAGGAATTTTTCCTTTTTAATAGTAGGTATAGATAAAGACAACAGTGACTACCATTCATGAATCAATGTTGCTTATACCATGATATTGTTGTTACACAATTTCTTTTCAGGTCAAGGTGAAGGTGACAGAAAATATAAAACCAAAGAACGAACAAATGACTGAAGGCACTCTTCAAGCAAGTGGTCACAAGGACATGAGCATATATGCACCATATCCTTGCACATCTCTTGTTTTGGCATATATAGCTCCAAATTATGTACTTTTCTTCTTGTACTAATTATTAAGTGAGGTAGCTAGTATCTACGTGAGTTATGTTGTACCGTTGTTGTTTTCTAATCAATGTGCATATACTTTTGGTCGTTATGTAAGAAAAAAAATCTAGAAAGGAAGAAACATGGTGTCAACATTGATCTCAGCAGTGATAAATAAGGCAGATATATGACTTGTTAACTACATTGTGTTTATCATGTTTCCCCCTTTTTCAAATATCATCTTGCTTACCAACTCAGTATTATGTGACACCAAACCCTAAAAACTGAAATCCCAATTGGGTTTTGGTCCTAGAATAATGATTTAATTTTCTTTACATTGGTCATCATACTTAGTTAACCAAGTAGCCCGAAGAGCTTCCAACAATGTTTGATTAGCCCAAGGTTTAACCTAGGCATTATTCATTTCGCTCTGTCACCACCCTTGAGCTACTCAACCCACCTACAGCTCACCCATCAACCCTGGTCAAGGCCGGCTTTGTAGTTTGAGAGCTCTAGGGTAGAAGAGATAATATGGTCCTTTTGACCAAATATTCTTTTTTACTTGCAACATGAAAAAGAATATAGTAGTACTAGTAACATGTACTTAATTCTTGAAAAAATGTTGATAATATAAACTAAAAGAGTATTCAAATGAAACAAGAATGATTATCTTAGGTAAAAACCAAACTTCCCACAACTCCATCGATAATAATTCTCTAGTTCTATAAAACAAAACTTGTTTGAACATTTCTTGATGCAAAAAACTTCGGTCTTAGAATCTTACTTGGCATATTGGCATAATACACAATTAGAGTAATTTTGTTCTTCATGTTTCACATCTAGGTACATATCCTAGATAATAGAGAAATAATTGGCTAAGAAAATAACTAACAAATACATAGAATTAGAAGTTTAGAAACTCTAACGATCTATTAATCTAACATGCTAAGAAATTAACTAATAATACACAATGGATTGATAATGAGAAACTATGTGAAGGCACAAAATTTCCTGAGTGGCTAGGCCACTTAGCAATAGGAGAGCAGCAAAGTGTGGTTGCGTGATGTATATATGCGATATTGTGGGTCCCCTCTTGGCCTAGGCCCTAGGATGTTGCCCCTCCCGTCTAGGCGCTGAGCTAGACATGACCGTGGTTGACACGCGCAGACCACCTAGTCCAGTAGATAGCCTACAGGCTACAACTTGTAGCTTGTCGTGGACCATTTGGCTAATAGACGCTTTTCGGTACCCACACGTAGTTGGTCACTTCCAAGCAACCCAACACTCCCGGTGGTTGCACAGCTCGCCACCTCACCAACTACACACTGGTCCTATGCCATTCACTACTCAGCACTCCAATGTCCTAGACCTCAGCTCCAAGCGCTTTTGGATCCCACCATGCTACGTAAGCACAATCACCCACTCCTATTGTCAGTGACCTTTCTCCTAACCGAAATACTGACCAATAGAAAATTCCAAACCATCGGTCACCAAAACTTTTGTCATTAATCCCGTTCATTTTAAGGGGACAGAATATTTCTTGAAATAACAAACTGAATTTCTGATCATAAATGAATGCCCACCCTAGTTCTTGGTATTCTTAAGTTTCAAGTAAATGGTGTGCATATCCTAACTCTATCACAAACTAAATAATGGTTTGTCTTAACATCTAAACCATATTTAGTTTACTAAGAAAAAAGTCACATGTGGTGGTGCTACAAAGATGGACACGATAGTTGGTTCGCAAGTCTTTCCTTTGTGTGACCCTCCAAAACCTTGACCACTTCAAACCTTAGGGATTGTGGTCGAGTAGTGGTGCTATTTGCTAACAAAAACAATGATTACTATGAAATTCCTATATCTTAAATTTATTATTCCATGTTCTTATTTTTCTATACAACACTAGAACATGCACATCTCCAAATATCTTTCAACCCTTAAGAATCCCGAGCAACACTTGGTCTCCATAACTCCACAAAATTTTATAACATCTAATCTCAACGAAAAACAATAGTACTAGTGTTGGCTTCAATATACAATGGAAATTATGGTTCAACACAAAGTGACTTGAAGCATGTGAATTGAAAGAGGGTATCATAATCAAGGCTATTTTTATTTTTTGGGCATACTTGATAGAAGGTTTATGTGAATTGGACTCCTTGTCAATGTATGAACAAATGGTTGGGACATTCCTAAAGGTGCAATCATCAGTATGAGCAATGGATCAATAAAGCAATGAAGTTCCCAACCATCAAGTTAATATATAGAAGGCAAATTATTTGTGTCGGGCACTACAGTTGAGTAACATATTATGCAAGGCAAGATGGTTAGACTAGCCTAATGATTTTACCCAACCATCTTGTGATGAACTTTGATAGCATGGTGATAAATTAATAGATTTTTCAACTAGGTCTTATTGTTCTTAGTGTTTACTATAAAATGGTCTCTTTTTAATTCTCTATAAATTATACCTAGCGTAATAGATAAAGGAAATCTTGATTGAAAGTGAGCTTTTTCATTTTGTTTGTTTTGTGCAAACTAATGTTTAATTAGCCATATAGTGTCCGCCTTTCCTTAGTGTTGGTAGATTATATGATGCTACTATTATATACAAAATGTAAAACATATTTAAATTGTTTCTTACACTTGAAAATTAAGAAACCTTAGTATAGTTAACAATATTATTTAATTTCACTAATTCGATTACACTGATTACGTATTTACCATCATCTACATAATTACAAATCTGTCTCTTGTTCATTTTTTTGTCATTTCTCCTCCCCACGACTAGTTTAATATATGCATGGAAATCTAAAAAATATTATATTTCAATTAAAATTATGTATCCGCCTACTATATGTTAGTTGAATATTGAACCCAAAGAGTGATCAATGATCACTTTTCATAATACGACACCAATACAAGTGCAATAGAGCAATATTGGATCCTAGATTTTACCTAACAGAATTGTTTTATCATGTTTTTTAGTGAAACAATGATGAATTTAATTAATCTGTGAACAACAACAGGAAGTATTAAAATTTTTGTGGATTGGTACTTCGAGTGGAAATTTTTCTACAATGCACAATTTGTATCAATTGTGGAGCAATATATTCAATACAAGGTGGAATATTGATTTTCATAAACATATGATGAGATATGATTTGTATTTATTGTAAAATAAAGAGAAAATTCTACAAAAGCGTAGAACCTATGAAGGAAAAAACCATATAATACAGACAAACCGGTTTCATCCCCATGCTATGGAGTTTAAGAAAGTAACTTAAGAAAACCAGTTGATTTGTTTTCTACACGTAAAGAAGACAACAAACCGTGTGGCTGCATATGTACTGGTGAAGGTCAATTATTATGTAATACAAATGCAATGTAACGTTTTTTAAAGAGTAAGATATGCTGAAATATATTCATAGGACATTAAATGTTATAGATATACTTGCAAGTCAACCACATATTTTCAATTGCCCTTATAAGTCAATACATATTTTCAATTATATATATATATATATATATGTGTGTGTGTGTGTGTGTGTGTGTGTGTGTGTGTGTGTGTGTGTGTGCAGATGAAAAGACTAGCTATCTTGGAATAATTTTTTAAAATACTATATTATACAAGGGTAGTTGTGAAAAATGGCTATGCTAGCTGAACTTCATTTAATAGTAGGGTCACTCCATGTGTTATAAATACCCACAGTTGGCATTCGACTAGGTATGCCTATTGTGATCTGCACAGATATCATCTGTCAAGGTTAGGAGAAACCTTGCATCCCTACATTTCATTTGTTTCCAGTTTTTCAATATTAGAATCATTATTCTCTCTTTGACACAAGATATGCAATTTTTCCTAGTGACAACTAATTTGGGCATCTTAATAGATATATATCAGAGCGTACCAGGAGTCCGGCACTAATCTCTTATGGATGAGATCAAGAGTACCAATACTTCTGTTACGCCTGAGGTTGAGGTGCGTCCTAGATTCTCACCATCAAGGTTTGTGAAGGTTTTCATGCAAGGTGAAGTTGTTGGGAGGAAGATAAATCTGGCCACTCACCAGAACTACACCTCGTTGTCCTTCACCTTAAAAATATTAGGCAACAACTATTCTAGTAAGTAAAACTTCTCCATACACATCTTTGGTCAATATGTCGATGTAGTTGTTCTTGATTCACTTGGATTTGTAGCATTTATTGAATAAATCTTTGACTATGATCCATCCAACTCAACATACTTGTTTACACAAAGATTGATATCCTAGTTTCTAACTTATATCACCCTAGCAACCAATTTATAGAGGATCTAGATTATAAATACTATCTAGTAATTATGGCACATATGTAATCTTCGAAAATCTTGAGTCAATTTCTTTCGATCTTCTGATGTATGCAAAATCATGAGGGGCAAGAATTGACATTAGAGTATCTTGTAAAATTACATCTTTTAATTGGGATCATGCACTCAGAGGATCTATTATATAATGTTTTTCTGATTTTCTCTTGAAGTGGAAAACAAATAGTAGACTACCATAATTGTGCATCAACTGTGAGCGTAGCTGGAGGTATGATGGGTTCACAGCTTCATTTCCTAGGTTCAAGTCATGTTTGGCTCTATTTTTTGGCACCTTTTTTTTTCTTAATATAGAATTATAAGGTTAGGTGCCTCCCACTTTCTACTTTTACAAATACTTCATCTATCAAAAGTGTTCTTCTATAGAGTAAGTGGTATTGGATTCACTTCCATTTTTCATGTAACACAACTATAGATTTCTTACAAAATCATTATAAATTTATTTAAGGACACACAACCACATACGTACATCACAGTTTAAAAATATATATAATCAAGTTCGAATATGGCAATACTAATTTATTCATTTTTCTTCAATTTTATAGTGCC